CGTGGCAGGTGTGGGACAGGATGTTCAGCCAGGTGCTCTGACCTGAGCTGCGTGTGCCGTTGGTCTTTGCTGTGCCTCAAGGTCAGCACTTGGGCACACCTTCTGGCTGGGGGAGGTCAGTGCCTGGGCAGCGGGAGTGAGAGCACCTTTGTGCCTATCAAACTGGGAGCATTTCTCTCTGCCACTGTGGTCTTTTTTTGTCTGTTTTTTATTTTTTATTTTATTTCGTTTTATTTATTTTTTTTAAAGATTTTATTTATTTGACAGAGAGAGACACAGCGAGAGGGAACACAAGCAGGGGGAGTGGGAGAGGGAGAAGCAGGCTTCCTACTGAGCAGGGAGCCCGATGCGGGGCTCGATCCCAGGACCCTGGGATCATGACCTGAGCCGAAGGCAGACGCTTAACGACTGAGCCACCCAGGCGCCCAAGTTATTATTATTTTTAAAGTCAAAACCGCCCTGTCAAAATTTCCAGGATCAAGGTGGAATTTAATTTGTAGAGATTTGTCTCAAGCCAGAAAATAGATTTGACCACTTAAAAGGGGTCGATGCAGGGGCAGGTGTTTGAGAAGTGTTGGGCTTTCATAAAAGCTGGGCTGGTGAGCTGGACGGACCCGCACGTGCTGGGGGACTGAGCTTCTGACAAGCAGTGGCTGCTCAGACCTTTGCCCTTCTTTGAAGCGACACCTAATGCTGCATGTTAATGATGGGAATCTGTGCTTCCCCTCAGCATGAGGAAGCAGAATGGTCAGCATTCTCCAAGGGGTCCTGTTGGTGTTTGGAAGGAACAGTTTTTCACTGCATGCAGTGCTGGACATAGAGCCTCCCAGGCCTCTGCCTTCTAAATGCCAGTGAGATCCCCTGGTCATTGTGACCACAGAAAACCCCCCCGACAGTTTCAGATGCCCCTCTGGGGGGTGTTGTGGGGGGGTGATTCTGCTCTGGGGTTGAGAACCACTGGACCACAACACTGCACTGGGGAGTAGGCCAGGTTTGTGTTAAGTTGTAGATGAAATGTCCCAAGATGGACACATCCTGCTGTGGTCCTCTGCTTGCTTCCTTTATGCGTTTGTGTATGAAGTGATTGCTTTAATTTTTTTTTTAGTTAAAAAAAGCTTAAGATCATATTTATTTAGTACCAGTGCTATTTTAAGTGCCGAAGATCAGCCTTCAGTAAGATGGTAAAGTGCCTGCCTTTAGGGAGCTTAAAATCTAGTGGGGTGGGCGCCTGGGTGGCTCAGTTGGTTAAGCGACTGCCTTCGGCTCGGGTCATGATCCTGGAGTCCGGGGATCGAGTCCCTCATCGGGCTCCCTGCTCAGTGGGGAGCCTGCTTCTCCCTCTGACCCTCCCGACCCTCCCCCCTCTCATGTGCTCTCTCTCTCAAATAAATAAATAAAAATCTTTAAAAAAAAAAAATCTAGTGGGGTAATAAACTAGTTATTTCAGATGGTATTATCAAGGAAATCGGTGTGGAGAGTAGTAAGGATGAAGGCTGTTTTAAGAAACCACTTTTTTTTTTAAGATTTTGTTTATTTATTTGACAGAGAGAGACACAGCGAGAGAGGGAACACAAGCAGGGGGAGTGGGAGAGGGAGAAGCAGCCTTCCCGTGGAGCAGGGAGCCCGATGTGGGGCTCGATCCCAGGACTCTGGGATCATGACCTGAGCCAAAGGCAGACGCTTAACGGACTGAGCCACCCAGGCGCCCCAAGAAACCACTTTCTAAAGAACATTGAGATGAGAAATGGGGGATGGTCCATTTTAGACTGCAGATCTTCCAAAATGAGCTGGAGAATCATCTAGAATATAATCAGTGTTGGGCAATTACCAGATTGGTGAGAGGTCCTCTGTGAGCTCACTGATACAGTCTGACAGACCTCAATAGCACTGTGAGTTCAAACACGGTGTGGGGAAATCTTGCTCCTCTTAGCAGCCCTGAGGCTGGGCGTGGAGTCCTGGCTTTGGTGTGCTGAGGAAGGCTCTGGAAGTCAAGACTTGAGGAGTATGGTGAGTGTCGCTATTCAGATTCCTTGATGGAGGTATACACATGCGTATGGGTTCTTAAATGCTCTGAATGTCCCTGGAAGAATCTATAAGGAACCAGCATCAGTGGTGGGTCCCCCAAGGAAGAGGGGAGTGTTGGAATGAGAGAGCAGCTTTCTTTTTAAAAATTTTAATATTTTTTAAGCAAAGTTCACTTTTGTGGCTTACAGTTTAAAAAGGTACAAAAGGGTATATGATGAAAGAGACTTCCTTAGTACTATATACTGTTTTCCCTCGGGCAAATACTGGCTATTCAAGAGATGAACTAATCTTAAGGGAAGTTCCTTGGTGATAATGATTCATACTGATTAGTTGTATTTCAGGAAGAAGAGAATTTTGGGTTAAGTTAGAATGAGGCTTCCTAAGTATTAAAGCTGAGTTAGTTTTGTTGAGTCAAATAATCCACATTATTATTTGAGGGGTAGCATTAAGAGTGTTGCTTAATGAAATGTGGTCTAAAACTCTATGATTTTAAGTAGAATGTTTCAAATCCCTTTAGTCCCAGTTACTGGCTGAGTCATCACAGGCACATTATTTAACCTCCTTTGCCTCAGTTTCTCATCAGCAATAATTTCAGACATTTATTGTAGAACTAAATGAAAAAGAGCTAGATAAATGTTAGCATTTCGTATTTGCCAAGTGGAGTGAAGGAAGCCCTGGGGAAGATAATGAACTTGAGTCTATAATCCATTCAGTTGAGTAAGAACCATTGTTTAATTCGTTGTTGCCTTTCATTCATTCAGCAGATATCTGTGGAAGGCCTGATCTGTGCCTGATACTGTCCTAAGCCCCAGGGATGCAGTAATAAGCACACAGTTTCTGCCCCTGTGGAGTTCATAATCTGGTGAGGGACACAGACCTCAGTCAGATAATCGCACAAGTAAAGTTGCAGTTCTGCTCAGTCCTTGAAAGAGAGATGGATGGTGTTAGTATATATTAGGGAGAATTCACCCTGTTTTGGATGTTAGAGAAGAAATGCTTCCTCAAAGAAGTGACATAGCTGAAATCTGAAGGGCGAGTTAAACTGTCAGAGGTGTGGGCAGGGATAGCATGTGCAAAGGCCCGGGTGTCAGGTGGGCAGAGCCGGGCAGTGTGGCGTCACACACACCTGAATTACAGTCAGTGGATGCAAGGCCTTGTGGCCATGTTGAGAGAGTTTTCTGTATTAGAGCTGTTGTTGTAGTGGTTTACTGGGGTGGGCAGGGGTGAGATCTGATTACTACCGTTTTGAAATGATAGTCTGTTTGCAGTGTGGAAAATGAATTAGAAGAAAGCCAGCATGGATGTGGGTGAACCGATGCAAAGGCTCTTGGCAGTGGTCCAGAGAGGAGTTTTTGGAAGCTTTGACCCAAGTGATGGCAGTAGAAGTGGAGAGAAGTGGATGGACTGATTACATGGATATTTAGGAAGGAATGTTGGCAGGACTTGATAATGTGTTAGCTCTGGTGAGTGGGAGAGAAAGAGTTGTCCAGAACGGTCCTTTGGACTCCGGTTTGTATATTTTGGTGGAAGGTTGTGCCATTCTTGCAGACAGGGAACAGTGGAAGAAGACATGTGTGGCCGCGGGAGGGGATTATGAATCTGCCGAGGAACCTGTTGAGTCCAGAGGAAGCTGGAAGGCGGCTGGATGGAGAACTCCGAGGGGGATCTGGGCTAGAGATCTAAATGCGGGAGGTTATCCCTGCTGCCCCTCACCGCTGCCTGCTGCCTGCTGCCTGCTGCCTGCTGGGAGCGTTAGGAGAGAGCGAGCAGGGCGGGGGAAGGGAGGAGGGAACACGAGCTCAGATTCCCTGAGACTTTCCACTTGGTTTCGTGCAGGCTGACCTTGTCCTGGGACTTTAGATGAGGAGATAGAGTCCTTCTCCCAGCAGAGTCCTTGTCACTGTGCTGTGTGCCATCCATGCGGGGGTATCGGGGCATGAGGCGATCTTTGGGGACCCTCCGTGGACTGGACTCTTTCCTCTCCCACCTTCTTTGTCCCCCCCACCCCCGGCCCCGGAGGCCTGGCACTTGCTATCTGAACAAACTGGGAGGAGTATGGAGGCTGGAGGCTGGTTCCAGATACCCACAGATTAGCTGCACTTGTCTGGATATTATCTGTAGATAATTGGAAATTGGCTTGAATATCAGTAACAGTAAACTAATCATAACTCTCTCAAACTGCTTGTTCTATTCTTTTGGAGATTTGTGAGTTTCCTCCGAGTCTGTCTATCTCTGTCTCTCCCTTTCTCTAAATTTGGCCAGATCATCAGCCAAGGGTTGAAGGCAAATGTGAGCTCCAGAGAGAGGAGAGGGTGACAGACTGGAGCCAGGCGAGTGGGCCACACGCTCCCTGCCTGCTGGTTGGTCTTTCGGCCTGTCACTGGCTTATTTACACAACAGATTCAAGCTTCCTTACTACTGGGGATTGGTGTCCTCAGTGACAGGTGATAAATCAGAACCAGCGTCCATAGTTTCTTTGCTTCCTGGCTCCAAGTAGATGCCTGGAGAAAATCCAGAGTGTGGGCACCTGGGGCCCCCTTGTGGCTGGATCTGGTTTTCCACTTCGGCTCTGCTTTTCCCCCGTCAGTTGGTGGGAAGATGGCAAAAGGGAAGTTTTGCTCTCACATGAAGCCTTTCCTCTGGACTTTGCTATTCCTGTGGATCTTGTGATGGTCCCCAGCCCTTGCTGCTCAGCTGCTGATCTCGGGCCCTCCTAAGCCAAACCTAGCCTTCTCCTTGATGTGCTATGGCAGTGAATCCAGAAGCAGTCTCTTCATGTTGACTGGCAAATTCACACTCCGTGGGTGGGCTACTTCTTACAGGCAGCCCACCGTGGAACACTCTACAGTCTGAGAAGCTGGTGAGAAATAGGAATAGGTGTTGGTGTGTGTTGTTTGAGAATATAGTGTCTTTGGTTTTTTGATGTCCATTGGGTGGCACTGTGATCTTATTTTTGTTTCTGTTTTTCTTTGCAGCCAAGCTCTACTCCAGGAAGTGAAAATGTGGTGCCTCGAGAGCCTCTGGTAAGTACCCAAGATATAGAGTATCATTTTCTAATCATTAAAATACTGTGTGAGTGTGGAGAAATCCTAGGATCCTATAGTTTTGCATCATTAGTGTCTCTTCAGACGTAGGTGCTGTGTGGAGACTAACTTAGTGACCTTTGACTTCTGACTTCTTTTCTGGCATGCAGGGTTAGTGGGCTCCCTCCTTAGTAAAGCCTGGTCTTTTCTGAAACAGAGAGCATATACCTCAGGGCTTGATGCACCGCTTTGTTTGTTGCTGATCAGTAGTAATCAGTGGGATGCCTGAACCCTTTGGAGGTGGGGTTGGGACCAAGTTGCTACTTGATTGTCTGAAATAGCCATTTTGCCCTTCAGGGTGAGAGCGCTGTCAGGTGGCCTTTGAGGAACAGGTAAGGCAGGGAGTTCTGTTTTTGCCTGGTCGGTAATTTGTGATGCTCGTACCAACATTACCTGCTTCTAGTATTGACAGGGCAGCGGCCTCCTGAGTACTGAAGGTAACTTTCTTCACGAAGCGCTTTTGCTTTGGTGGTCTGAGCCCCAGTCCCTGCCAGCACCCCCCATTTTCATCCTAGCTTGCATTTCAGGGCTTACTGCAAATTCTGTTTGTTGAGTAGCAAGACTTGTTCTGTACTAACCAGATAAGTTTTATGGAAGGGCAGCTTTTAGAGCTTTGTCTTTGTTTGGATGGTGATAGTAAGCTCAGGAATGCGCTGCCCAGTTTTGGTTTCCCAGGCTTGGTTTTCTTGCCTCTCCTCCGGGTGTAGTGGGAGGAGGTGATGTGAGGTCCTTAGCTGGCGTGAACAGGCCTGAATTCTAGCCCGAACTCAGGCTTTCCAAGGCAGAAGGTGAGTTGGATTTGGCTGAGGCTGAAAGACGAGGGTGATGCAAGCCCTGCTGGGGCTGTTTCAGGAAAGTGTGGTTGTCTTCTGTGACACCCACTGTTACCAAGTGTTACCAAGTCCAGCTGCCTTCCCACCACACCCCACAGTGGCTTCGTTTCACTCTTGGTATTGCCCGGGTTTGTCCTGGAGGTCAGGGTGGTGGGAAAGCCAGAGGCTTCAGAAGGGCTTTGCTTTGCCAGGCCCTTAGCTAGGGAGCTGGAGTGTTCCCCTGGGGCCTGTCAGTGCCCTGCAGGCTGGAGTTGTGGTTGGTTTTGGACTGAAGTCCAAATTGAATGCTGTAGTCCTCTGCAGCCCTTTACCTCCTTGGTCTCCTTTTACATTTTTATCTACTGACTTTACTGCTGATCCCCGGCAGAGCTGACTGGTCCTTCTTTTGCAGCATGATTGGGTAAACTCTTGGGGGTTCTTTCTAGCAGCGAGCCCTACGCAACGGCAGCCTTGCTGATTTCTGGGTATTTGGAGCCCTGCAGCCCCTTTGCTCTGCTAACATTTCTGGATGCTGCTCTTTTCCTGCTGTACTCTGCATCTGCTTGTTGTTTGGTTGTATTTTCATTTCTTTCTTTTCTGGGAGGCCCCGAGCAGTCTTCAAACCCTAGTAGCCTGTGATTGTCCAGAGTTCAGACTCATTCTCTCCAGGCCAACTCTACAATTACCTTATATTTAATTAATATTTTTCCCCCTCTTTACGTACTTGCTACATAATTGCTCAGAGGAAAGAAAACACATAGCAGCAATTTATATATATATAAAAAAAACAATAATTAAAAAAAAAACCCCGAAATAAACTCCCATCTCATTTGGGCTGATCCTATGAGTTGGGTAATTAGGGCCCTATTAAAAGGTAGACCCTTTCTCCTTCCCTTCTTTTTTTTTTATTAATTTTTTTATATTAAACTCCCACAGTCTTTCAGTCATGCCCTTATTGCTTTTGGCCAACCATTCGCAGCAGCCTGATTAAATGAGGGCACCAGCCGAGTTGTATGGTCTTGTGTGAGCTACTTCTGCCTCTCGAGAGCAGTGGTGGGAGGGTGCCAGGCAGCGGGGCCTGCCAAGGACTAGTGAGGACTCGTGGTGGGTAGGGGTATAGGACTTTGAGCTGGCAGTAGGCTGGATGAGAGTCACAGGGGGCTGGTGAAGGGATGGGGTGGTATCCCCACCCATAGAAAGCCCACAGCTCTCTGTCCAAGTCCCCCTTCCCTAGGGGAGGTTTCTCAGGCGTGTGCATTAGCCGTCTCTCGATGCTCAGGAGTAACAGACAATTGAAGAATAAAATTAAGCCTTCTTCTTAAGTAATTTATGCATTTTATTGGGGAAGAAAAGGCATTTGTACACATGAAACAATTAGCAGACAGCACAAGACCATATATAATTTTAGCAAACAGTACAGAATCGCATATAATTTGGTGCAGAATTGCCTGGCTGGGAGTATAAGAGCCCTCATTATTCAGAGAAGGAAGAGTTCTGCCCGGGGTATACTTAGGGATTTTTTTTGTGAAACTTGAAGCCAGGTCTTGAGGAATAGAATTTTCCAGTGTTGAGGGAACACCCTGCTAAGTTGCTTTTGTTTTTGTTTTTAACTGGGAGCATATTTTCCATAAAATTCTTTTGTGGAAGCTGCCTGTTCTCTACACTGAAATGGCTAAGAATAGGATACTGAAGGCGTATCATCTTATTCTTGGTCTCCCGAACTAGGTGATCACTTTGGAGTAATTTTTCCCTGTATTAGAGAAGTGAGTTGTGACAGAAGAGGCTCCATGGAGTGGTCAGTACAACGCAGATGGCATGGACGGGTGATGTTCGGGGGTTCGCATTAGTTTTTTGCTTTATCTGCTAGAGAAGGAGGGCCTGATTTTCATTTCTGCCCTCTCTGGACCAGAAAAACGGTTTGTGATTGTGGTGGTGAGGAGTATCGTCTTGAAGTCTCGAAACGACACACTGGTGTTTTTAGCCACCCCGTTGTCTGGATTCCACCCACATAGTGACTGCATGTTACCTTCTCTTGCCCCTCAGTCCTCCTCCCCACCATGAAAAAACCACCCTGGCAACCCTGGCCATATTAGTGAGATAGTTGCTTTATAATGTCATAATGCCCTCAGGGCTGGAGATTGGTGAACAGACCGGTCTTGATAAATTCTGTAAACTCCCAGTTGAAATTCCCTTATTATTGATGATAAAACTCTGCCAAAGTTAAAATGGCCGATTGCTTTTTCTTCTTCATACTTTCTTCCCTGAGCTTTGCCTCCTGGGGCAAGGAGTTTTGACAGTCCTCCAGAGTACTGACCTCCAGCCACCCCCCCGCCCAACAACCTGTTGAAAACCTTCTGTAAATTCCCTCAGACCCGAGTTTTCTCGTCCCCTGTGTGGGCATGTGCTCGGGCCCTGGGTCAGGTCCCCGCACAGCTCCCGCAGGATCAAGCCCCACCTGGCCGATGGGTCTTTAAATGGGTGGACAGTTGTTTGCATGGAGTAACTCGGGTTCTGTCTTGCTGGGATTCAGAAACTAGGGTTTTTTTTTTTTT